TGCTCTCAACCAACAAATACAAGAGCTTGTTTAATTTTGTTCTCTTCTTTTTAAAAAAAAAAATATATTCTGTATGTTAAATTTTTAAAACGAAATAAATTTAAAATATGCTTGACCATGTTAATTTGAAAAAAAAAATTAAAAAATTCGGTAGTAATGATTATCAATAATTAATGATGACGGTAGCTAAGGATGTTTGCCCTAGTCAAATACAGCATGCTTAAAAAATGATTAAAAAAATAAAGAAACACGAGCATGCTATACGTTGTTTTTATTTTTTTATTTTTTAAAATTAAAAATATAACAATTTTGAAAATATTTAAATACAAAATGCTTAGCCAAACATTTTACATTTTATATTTTTTTAAAAAAAATAAAAACCAAACAGATCCTAAATCTCTTGTTTTTGATCCATACTTTTGATATTGAAGCGGTAAGAATAATTTTACTTGCAACAATATACACCTTTAATTTTATTTTTAAATTATTTTCAACATGTTTCATAATAATCAAAAAAAATTTTTAAAATTCATCAATTATGTCTATAAATTTAATAAATTCTCGATTTTACTTTTATTAAATATATATATTTTAATAGTATATTTTTTCTTTTTAATATTTAATAAAAAATACAAGAAAAATTTTGTGATGAAAAGTTAACTTTGTTTAAATGGGATGGAGGTATACATTGCTCTCAACCAAAAAATACAAGAGCTTGTTTAATTTTGTTCTCATTTTTTTTTTAAAAATTACAAATTAATTTTTAAAAATTGTTTTTAAAAACAAAAGAAATTGAAAATACATTGCTCTAACCCAAAAATTACAAGAGCTAAACTCGACAGGAGCTCCAACTCACATGACACGTATTCAACTCGCTCAAACTTGATTGAAACAAATGACTTTGCATGTTTGCAGCGATAGCGAGTTAGCAAAAGGCACTTTGATAAGGGTGATGTCTGTTCCTTGAGCTTTATATAACTCCCACTCACAGGTAGTAGCCCAGTAATTAAGAGAGAGAGAAGAATAACAACCACTCTCCTAAGCCTGACATGTATGCCGTTTTTAAAATACCGTAATTCTAAGCTATCTATATCATCATTAATTTCTAAACATATTTTTTTATAATAATAATATAAACATTATCTCTAAAACTAATAAAAACTGTCCTCGTTTCAAAATATTCTCTTCCATGATCTCAATCCTAACTTCTCAACTAATTTAAAATTTTAATTTTAAATTTTGAAAATCTTGAAAAAATTTAAAAATTGCGAACAAATTTTTTGAGTATCATACCTCCCTCAATTTATCTAATTAGTATAATATATTTTAACATTCTAATAGCTACCCCTTAATCTCTATTAGTTTAAATGTTTTAAATTTTAAATTTGTGGCCTCTTTATTTTCAGATTTCAAAATTTGTGAGGTATCATATTTTAAAATTATTTATGTTTAAATCAATTTATTTAATTAGTATAATAGATTTTCTCATTCTAATAACTACCCCTAATTATTATTAATTTAAATATTTTAAATTTTAAATTTTTTGAATCAATAATAACTTCCATATCCCATGACCCCGTGACCTAATATCACATTCTCTTAATTTTTATATTTTAGAATTTGTGATGTATTATATTTTACCAATTACATTAAAATTTATTTGTTTAATTAGTGTGATAGATTTTTATCCTAATGACCATCCCTTGAATTAATTTCCCACTAATTTTTTAGGTCCATGTTTTTGCATTTTGCCTCCCACATTAACCTTTGTATATTGTTTTAACTTTCCTAGCCCATGATTTCTCAATTTTCAAAATGTGTCCTCCCAATTTCCCTAAACTATCATGATGATATTCCCCTCCTAACATAAACCTCCTCCTTGCTTTGCTTCATCCTTACCCAAGGACAATACAAGGCATTAAGATAGCAATCACACGAAGGCGATCATATGAACATAAATGGATTATACACTAACCTTTTTGCTTCTTCACCATACAACCTTTGGTGATCTCACATGAAAGTAAACTAATACATGGGATTTGTTGTTTCATCGTGAGGTGTGGGTGCATCCTTAGAGATATAAGCCATGCAATATCAACTTGTAAATGATATGATTAAATTTCTCGATGAACTCATGGATATGTGCAATGATTTCCTATGACATTTCTTTATTATGTAATGTTATTTTAAAACTTATATTTTTCATTTTACTGGTAGGTCTCTCATTTTTTTAGTGTATTAAAAAAAAGTACTAAGAATTTAATTGTGTGTGTATATATATTGTTGGAAGAAGTGACTTTTATGGTAGAAAGAGGCTTAGATGCTTGTAGATTTCATTCTTAATCAACCATGCAAAGTCTTTTACTATCCTACGTGCATTATGGTGACAATCATTTTATTAATTTTTAACATCTTTTTGTCATGTCATTCACTTTTTTTTTTTTTATTTGTATGTTAACTATCTCTTAAGTTTTTTTTTTTTGTCATTCTCTATCTGCATGTAATATACGTGGTCTTATTTTACACTGTAATTATCATTTTTATATCTGGTAGGCATGAAAATTTCTTCGCAAACTTTCTCTGCAAATTCTCTCTCGAGGAGGAGCCAATCACTTAAGCTACATAGCTTCACTTCTTACGATAATATTACACGGAGTCGAGATTGTCTAATTAAATCTTAAAAGTTATTAAGATGTGTTTTATTACTTTCTACACCCTGTCATATAGAGTTGAGATTGTCTTACTAATTTTTAAAAATTATTAAATCGTGTTTTATCATTTAACATGTTAATAACAAAGAAAAATTAATCTTTTTAGTTCTCTAACTTTTAAATCACTTGTAACTCAACCTCTCAACTATGACTCACTATGATTCAATCCTTTAACTATAACTCGCTTATGACTCAGTTCCTCAACTTTTGAATCACTTACAAATTAGTTTCTTAACCTTTGTTAATTTTTTTGTGTGTTCGTTTATATCTCATATTAATAAATAAGAAGAGGGTATTTTAAAATAATATACGAGTATTTTTTATCCCTCTTATTTGATAAAAAATTTTAAAAAAATTAAAAAATAAGGACCGAGTTATAGGTAAATCAAAAGTTAAAGGATTGAGTTGCAACGAGTTATAGTTGAAGAATTGAATCACAGTGAGTCACAATTGAGAGATTAAGTTACAAGTGAGTTAAAAGTTGAAAGATTGAAAAATTAATTTTTCCTAATAATAATAATAAATTATATACTGATTTATATTTAAAAAATTACTTTCATGCATCGTGCATTGCAAGAGGTGGTTACTAATTTTAGTATATAATAAAAAATAAATTTAAATTATTTTCTTAGTCAAACCAATGCAAGTCTTGTCGAATAAATCGTTTGCAACATAACTCATGGTGATAAAAAAAAATTCTATATTAAGCAGGATTCCTTATAATTTTTTTTATGAATAAGTGAAACTAAAATTGTGTTAATTTTTTGTTTACCGTGAAACATGCATTAATTTTCAATAATTCTACCTTTTAATAAAAAAAATCTCTACATTAAAATTTATAGAAATCAAAATAACATGATTTTTTTTGAAGTAATGGGATATATGTGTGTGTTAATAGGGTTAAAGGGTAAAAATGCTTTGAAATTTTTGTTTTAAAAGTGCCCGACATCTTAAACTTTGTTTGGAGTATTTTTTTCTTGAAAGTTCAAAAAAGAGAACATTTTCGCTCAACCATTAAATATTGAAAATGTTGATTGTAAAACTAAAGTTTGATCAAGATATTTTATTATTTTTCCCTCCTTCATTTTTGTATTTTTTGATTTTCTTTTCATTAATTAGAGGAATAAAAGTTAAAGAATTCACTAGGGAATGAAATCAAAAATTGAACATAGAAAAGAAGAGGGTAAAATACAAAAATATTTTTAGTCAAATTTTAGTTTAGCGATCAACATTTTTAATATTTAACGGTGGAATAAAAATATTTTTATTGTAAAACTTTTGGGCAAAAATATTCTAAAAAAAAATTAGAATGCCAAGAGTCCTTGAAGAAAAAGTTCTATAGTAATTTTGCCATTTAACCTTGTATTAATATTTATATTTACATTATGAGATGAAGGTTAACAAATTAAATATTTTAATGATAATTTATTAACCATAGTAGACTCTTACGATGTTGTGATGCAAATCTATATGTTTTACATGAGTTTATCTAAACTTATGAGTTTGATGATCTTTTTTACAACATGTTTTATCGAAATAACAAAATTAAAACTTATTATTAACTCTTTATGCAAATTTAATAAGTTTTTAATTTTATTTCTATTAAATACATACATACATACATATATATATATATATTTTAACAATATATACTTTTTCTTTAACATTTAAGGGAGGGCAAAAAAATTATGATAAAAATTTAATGATATAATTTATTTTTTTAATGTCATAATTTATAAAAAATATTAAAAAAATCCTCTCTTTTCATCCTATAAATAAAATTAGTAAGAGTATTAAATACTATTAATGAATAAGTCCAACATTAGTGACATGGAAGAACCTCATGAGTTACTATAACTAACACAGCTTGCCCAGCAAGTCAGCGGAGGCGCGAGAAGTTACCCATTTATAGAAATCAACAATCTCATATCGAGATTGGACAAAGAAATAAACTGTTGTGTATAACCGGAGGGGGAAAAAAAAACCAAGCTGTCTCGTGTCATTGGCTATACAGCACCCACTTGTATTTCGGTATTGAAAAATAATTAAAAAAAACTGAGAAAAAGAAAAATCTCATAATGAGTGGCGTGGCGTAAAAGTATACTGTTGTCCAAGTGGGCACCGGGTCTTAAAAAGTTTTCTCTTTCTTTCCTTCTGTGTTCTCTGTATTTGTTTTTTTTTTGGGTCAATAATATTAAAGTTTTTTCTGAAAAAAATGAGAAAGGAAAAGAAATAGGCTATAATCACCGTCAGTCACCCTGAATGGAAAACACGGCCGCCTTTTATGACCGACACGTCTCTCGCTCCGTCCTAAACGTGCACAAAACTCACTTGTAAGAAAGAAACAGTGAGATTCATGACATTCATCTATTCCTTGCCGAAGAATCTGGTCTTCTCTTCTCTCCCGGTTCCCTTGTAGCCGTGAAGTTTCGGATCATCACTACTGTTCTTTCAGGTTACTCTTTATCCGTTATTTCTCTTTCTATTTCCATGTGCTGGGCGATGCGATGCCTTCCAATTGTTTTTCTTTCTTCTTTTCTTATATATGGTAAAAATCTATATTGGTTGATTATGAGCGAATCCTGGTTGATTCGAGGTTTAAACGCTCGTATTTTCCTCCATAACTGGTTTTTTCTTCATTTGGCGTTCTTTTATGCATATTCATGTGATTCGTTCGCTAATTTGACAATTTGAGTAATGGGTGAGCTTGGTTTTCCTGAAGGAATTTTATGGTGGTCCTTGACGACGAACTTGGGATTTAGCCGGGAGAAGTGTCTTTCTTTGCCTCTCTTCTGTCGAATATGGTGATTTCTCCAGAATTTTAGTTTCTTACTGCAATTAGCTCTGGGAATCGCAAAATTTGTCAAGAAAGATTGAACTTCTGCGCTGACTCTTTTATCATATAAGTTCAATTGGAGGTAAATTGGCCGAATCGGCTCCTATCTTGTGCCATTCTTTGTGACCCAAAAGGGGTCAGTGCCATTAGTTAGGGTTACTAAGTCATTTTAGTTTTTTAGTGACATCCCTTCTTCGAAAATGGTGGAATCGATTGCTGCAATTTCACTTCTTGGCCATCGACCTGTCTGTGGAGCAAATTTAATCAGGGATGTATCTGGTAAACGTAAAACATTGATTCATTGTCGATTCCCGGCAACAGAATTCCTTGGTGAAAGGATTATGATTTCATTATCTTTGCCTAAAACAAAAATGGGTGTCTCCCCGTCATCATCAATTAAGGCTCTGGCAATGGAGCTTACGAAAGAGGCTTATGCGTACAGGGAAGAGAGAATACCAGAGACAGAAAGTGGCGAGATTGATCGTGGCTTTGAAGGCAGACCTGGTTTTTGGCCACCAGTTAACAGAGCAGATAACCCTTCGCTTCATAATCCCTTACTTAGACAAGAAAGGATGGGATGTGGCTGGTTGGGTGCCATATTTGAGTGGGAAGGGGTTCTCGTTGAAGATAATCCTGATCTTGAGAAGCAAGCCTGGCTAGCTCTTTCTGAAGAAGAAGGAAAGTCCCCTCCTCCAGCTTTTATCCTAAAGAGAATAGAAGGGATGAAGAATGAACAAGCAATATCTGAAGTTCTATGCTGGTCCAGGGACCCGACAGAGTTGAGAAGAATGGCTAATAGGAAAGAAGAAATTTGCCAGGCTTTGCAAGGTGGGATATATAGGCTAAGGGCTGGGTCAAGAGAGTTTGTCAGTGTTTTGATGCATTATAAGATACCAATGGCATTGGTTTCTACTCGTCCTAGAAAAACTCTCGAGTCTGCTGTGGGGACAATTGGTATTGAAGAGAATTTCAGTGTTATTGTGGCAGCAGAGGATGTATATAGGGGAAAGCCTGATCCAGAAATGTTTGTGTATGCAGCGCAGCTTTTGAACTTTATACCTGAAAGGTGCATTGTATTTGGGAACTCAAATCAAACAGTGGAGGCTGCACATGATGCTCGGATGAAGTGTGTGGCTGTTGCTAGTAAGCACCCTGTCTATGAGCTGGGGGCCGCAGACTTGGTTGTAAGGCGCCTGGATGAGCTTTCAGTGGTTGATTTGAAGAACCTGGCAGACATAGAATCAGCTGAATTTGGATCTGTGGAACCTGAGTTGGAGCTGGAAGAGGATGCAGATTTAGATGTATCATCTGTTGATGACAATTTCTGGTAACCTGATAAATGTACAGTTAATTGACCTTCATCTGATTCTTGATGATAATAGTTACAGATTAATCCCTTGTGTATATGATTAATAGAATAACGAGAGAAAAAAAGGATAGATGGTCTGCATTGAACAATATCGATGTACCTCTGTATTTTCTGTACTAATGTACATGTCTGGCTTTAAGAAGTGATTTGGAGTTCTTCCATCTACAACACTAAAATGGGTTATTTTCCCCCTCTTGAAATGGACTGGATTAGAAAGAAGGAAAGTTGTGATTTATTAAATACTTCATTATTGAGAGAGCAAATATTAGAATTTCTATTATGGCTAATTAGTGCGATTGTTTCGGATCAATCATCGTGCGTAATTGGATGATTTCCATGGAATATTAGGATTTTATCGTATGTTTTACACATGTAAATTCGTGAGGTGTAAAAAGGTCCTTGAGGGGATGAATCAAGAGATATGTTGGCGTCCCAAGGTGATGGTAACTAGTATCTCTAATCTATCATGATGTGTCTTTCCCAATTTCCTCAGTTCCTCCGCTCCTTTTATCCGAATAAAGCTTCTTTAGGGGAAACAAATACTATCCATTCTAGTTGAGATATGCTTGCCCCGCTACAGATATCGTAGATTGCAGGGCATGCATGGGTTTTTTCCCTACAGAAGTTACTATCCTCGGTTGAGGTTAGTTTAAGTGGGTAAGAAAGATATTGGACAAGGTATGGGTTTAAAAAAAAAAAACGTTTAAATATTCGTGATATAACTTAAAAAACATGTTTGTATTCACGTGAGAATATCAGGCATTAATGCTCTCCGCCTAGATGTGCTGGTCTAGTTAGGGTTTCTTAGGGCAATTGTATTAGAGGATTTAACAAGAGGCTTGGTGTAGCTTGCTGTATCACTACAAACTACAAAGTTGAGCGGTGTTCTTGAAGGTCCAAGGATTTGTTAGGAGAATGGACATTGCAGGAAATCGGTGTAGAAAATGATTGAGGGGAATAGGAAGCTCATTGCTTTGAATTGGAATATTCAATTTGATCATTCTTGTTAAGAAGCTAATAAATATGTTAATGGGCTTATTAGAATTGCTTATGACATTGAAGTGGAGTTTTTTTTTTTTTTTTTAAATCATTTAACGTCCCTTCCTTAATTTAGACAACCAGAGGATTCAAAGTCCCCCATGGCTCAAAAAGAGGGTTTTCTTTCTTTTTTTTTTTTGGGGGGGGGGGGGAGGGTGTTGTAGAGTACAACTCTTCAACTTTCATAGTGTTAAGCATTCTTCTAGAAGATCATGTACAAGCATGCAAATTTGTTCCCGTGATATGCTATTGGTTAGAGATTTCTCTGTTAAAAAGGGAATGGATATTGGATCAAGCTGTGCAAACTAACTGAAGCCGGAAATACATTTCAAGTCCTCGAGTTCTGGGAGGAGGAAAAAAACGGCAGAGCATGGGCTTCCTGGATTGTCAACATGAGGGCTTTGTAAATGGCCAGTGTATAGATATATTTGTGCCATTGGGGGAATGTGGTCTGTCTTAATCTTAACAAGCTCTTAGGATCCCAAGCCCACCTAAACTTTTTTTCCAACAAAAAGAAGACATGTTGGCTGGTGAAAAGTTCTTGGATTGTATTGTTCCTAATTTTCTATCTTTTTTTTTTTTTAAGAACTCCTTGTCTTTGTTATGAGGATTTACTAACAACCTTATATAGATTACTGTTCTTAAATTTTCAGAAGTATCCTCGTTGAATAGAGGATAACGAGTTAACGATAGATATATGTTTAATTAGTTCGGAAATATTATAGAGGAAATAATTTAAGCAGCTTGTAGTAGGCCTTGTAAATTGTGATAAGGACATGAACAAATACTTCCTTTTCGATGATGAAAGCAATACCACTTTTTATTTGTCATCATTCATGCTCTGCCAAGATAGAAGCATGGGAATGCAACACTTCGAAACAGTGAATGATAAAAGGGCTTAAATTGGTTTAGTCATGTAAATGGTTTTAACTTTTAATCTTTAAAATAATAAAAAGCTTTATTCCATCAAGTAGGGTTAGTTACATAAATTATATGATGTCATTATATTCTATCATTCATCAAACTTTTAATTAATATCAATGATATTAATTAAGAGGTATTAGTCAATAATTTTTAAAAGTGTTTGCTTCTGCTCATCTTAACTTTTCATCTCTTCAACAAAAATTACGTGTGGCAAAAGCACTTTCTTTCAGGTTACTAGTCGAATGATGGACAACACAATATCGAAATTGATCAACGTCAATCAATCTTAAAAGCAGGAATGTCTGGCTTTTCACAAGTTAGAAGGCAGATCCTTATAACGATTCACGTTTGACTCTTGTTCTACACTGTACATGTTTCTCGCCCACAACTAGCATCGAAAACAGTCCAACCAATAAAGCCAAAAAAAAAAAAAAAAAAACTATGTTGGCGATAATTATCAGGCGCCTAAGTTTGAGGATTTTCTACCGCAACTTCTCTTGGAAGCGTACGTGGCTTTATAACATGAATGCAACAGAAGTCCTCTCTTCGTCTATTTATCTGCTATGCTAATATTTGGACTGACCGAAAACCGACCTGAAGATAAGCAAAGGCATATAAGATAAGGACGTCGGGGGTGAACCAACGTGTCATTGTGTAGGATACGTGGAGGACAGCCAACTGTCATCTTTTTGCTTGTTGGTTTGTTTCTTCTTCTTCTTCTTTTTTTGTGGCCAGCCTTCGTGCACAGTGTACAATGTTAAACCTTAAATCAGCAACCAAGTTGTCACTCCATCCAAAAAAAACACCTAACAGAGACACTCTCATTAGATTCTGTTTCAATGCAATCACACTACTTGAGCATTAGTACACTCACACTGTCACTCACTTTACAATAGAAGAGAAGAGAGCTAGTTGCTGCGCATGCACAAATAAATAGTACAGACATTAATGCTTGACTCTTGTTGATTGGGGGAAAAATCATGTTAGCAAAGTTACTCTTTAGCTAATCAAATTTGATCTGATAGTACCATGTAGAAGGCGCAATTAATAGTCTTTCCCAATATATATGATGCATTATTGCATAGGCATGTGTGTACGGACTACTCTGTCAAAACAAGGGTCACTCTTGGGATATAGAAGCTCGTATAATGCGATAAAGACAAAGCCTCTGATCATATTGGCATTCAGTATGGCCAGCAACTTGACCCTCCCTCCCCATATATAATACATTATAGGCCTGTGCAGGATGCTCATAAACCCGAGATGCCCAGCCCGACCCAAGCAAAATATGTCCAACTTGAGCCCTAAAAAAATTGCCCAACACTGTTTGGGCATGGTCGGGCTGAGCTCGATCTTCGAGTTGGGCAGGGTTTAGGGCTGGGGTATCTAACCAATTGATCTTGCCTGGCCCGAGATATAATATATTTTTTTAAAAAAATAATAATATAGGATGTAATTTGTTAACTTGATGGGGACATAAATGGTAGTTTCTTTTTTTTTTAGGTGCCTTGATGATCAAGTTTGTAAACCTTAGGTTGAATATTTCTACATTCCTTAAAATTTGGAATTGGACAGCACTTGTGACTTGCATGAAAAATTCCTTCCATATTTGCTTTGTCATTAAGTTTTTTGATGACACCATAATATTTTTACTAGTGATATTTAACAATCTGTTACTTTTAAAATAAGAGCTCGAAATGATTTATTGATGAAAATAATTAATCTGCTACAGTATATTTCAAATTTGTATGGATGATTTTGATTTTTTGTTTCAGTAGGGTAAGGCTGGAGACCCTATCCGAGGTGCCTAATCCCTGCCCGACTCTGCCCGCCCGGCCCCTCCAAAGTCGGGCATCTTTCGAGTAGGGTCGGGTTTTGGACATAATTTTTTTGCCCGAAGACATTTAAGGCAGGGCATCGGATTAATGGACCACCCTATCCGACCCTGTCCATACATAACCCTAATATTTTGATACAAACTTGACCATGTATACGTGTGTGACTGTGCGTATGGTGTTTTAGTGTTGTGGCGTGCCATATGCCATGCCAATCCTTTTTGCAGAGTGAATGTCAGGATTTCTAGTTTCAGGTTTAATTGTTGGAAAGGAGAGGAACAAATTGGTAAAGAATGACATGGACTATTCTAAACATGATTATATTGAAATAAAATCATAAAAAGTATTGAAACACTCATATAGAGCTCTCGAGAGAAAACATTGTACTTAGATCCAATGTATTTTGAAATTATTTTAAAGGCTCAAAGGCTCTTTGCAGGTATGTTTTAAGGAGAAAAGACTCAATTATTCTCAATGAAAAAGAAACAACTTTATATTTATTATCAATGAATAATTATTTGTTAATATATAAATATAAAGTTGTAAATTTATGAATATCTAATTATAAAAATTAAAATTTGCTGTCACAATGAACTTTAATTTTGAATATATGAACTTATAAATTTTATACTTTGACTTGTGAATAGATAAACTTATACTTATGAATATTTGAACTTTAAATTATAAATAGGCCAAACATTTCAACATTAAACAATTTTTTTAATGAACAATTATTTATTAATGTGTGAATCTAAAGTTATGAATTCATGAACATGTACCTGTAAAAATCTAAACTTGTACTTGTTACCTTTTCTTGCTAAAGACAATTGTGTCCTTTATCCGTAAAATATACTTGCAAAAAGCATGCGTATATGAATACTGTGGAAGCTATTCCTAATAATGTAAGGATATGTTTAGATAAATGAGGATTTGAATTTAGATTTGAATTTAAATCAAATCTTGCATTTGAATACATAAAAGTCATTGGATTTGAATTTAATCCAAATATAAGTCTATCTTTCATGACAACTTTATAATTTTAAATTCACTCTAAATTTTAGTTATTTGAAGAATAGAGTAAGTTTGTCTTTTTCAATCTTTCTTCCTGCTTCAAATCTCATCTTGGCTCTCTTTTACTTTTAAAATTTTACACCATTCAAACAAATAGTTTTAAATCTAGAAGTTAAATTTAAATTTATTAATTCAAGCATTATCTTGAATCAAACACAACCTTATTTTTTTTTCTTTTCAAATTGAAGATGGTCTCTAGATTGCTTAGTTATACCATTCCTAGTAAAACTACAAATAGAAATTACCCTTGAAAGTTTCCCTGTTATTCACTATT